GTCACTACAGAAGCTCAGTCTTGCCTAACTGGAAGGTAAAGTGCAGAGTAGAGTTTACACATGTGCATTGATGGAGGGACGTGCAGAGATCACTGCTTAGGGGCAGACAGCTCACCAGCACCAGCCATGCTTTAGAAAGCTGGTCTGTGAAAAATTCACGTAAGGCAGTTAAATTAGAGCATGCTGCACACAAAGCTACAAGACAGATTTTACTTACTCCGGGGGAAAGCAACATTTTTCACTAAGGAGTTGGTGAGCAGTTGTGGGTTGATTTTTCTTTTTCTTTTTTTAAAGCAGGTTGATGATGAAAAAATCTCAGAACAGTGTGACTATCATGAGAATGATTTCTAAAGCAGGAAGCATGACAGCCCCACACCCACAATAGCAGAAGCAGCTGCTGCATGCAAGTTGTCAGCCACACACTGCAGGTCTGATCCTGCACTATTTCAAGCTACTTGGAGCTTTGGCGTTGCTTTCAACGCAGTGAACTGCACAATGCAGAATTAACTACAAGCCCAGTGTAAGAGAGGAGAAACAAATGGGCAGTGCTGCCCAAGTCAGAAGGTATTTCGCATCCTCATCGCTAAGCAGGAACTGCTACGACAGAGCCCAGCCTGAACAGCAGTACCAAGACCACCACCACTTTAGATCTGCAGCACTAAGAAAGGACCTCACCAACAAGAAATATCAGTAATTAGAACAATCTCCAACCTCATCTGAAGTTCCCTGCAATATGACTTCAGTGCCTCCCAGATTCTGAATGCTGGGAAGAGAAATTTCTTCTTGATGCTAAGGGGGGAAAGAAAAAAAAAAAAAAAATCAGAGCAGGTTGTTTCATTTTTATCTGGAACATTTCCACCTGCCCACCTCTTTTCTGCACAAAGCCTTTCCAAGTTCAGTGGAAGTCCATGCCTGCCTTCAAGCACAGGCAGCATAAGAAGCTGCTGGGTGTCAGGAATATTTCCACAGCCCCTGTGCCTCTGCTACCACAGCGGAAAGCCAGACCCATTGCTGCTGGCTGCGAGGATTGAGAGCAGGGGCAGCTGGTTGTGCTGGTGGATCAGCAGCAATTGCAGCCTCTGACGCTGCTGTTCCTCAGGGTAAGGAAGCAGCAAGCCCAGTTCTCCAGGAAGGTGCCTGTGGCAGCACGGCCCAGATCGGGGAAGCGTTCTGCCTGCATCTGAAAATCTTGGAGCAACTCTGCCTTACAAAATGGCAGAAACCACCTGGCAGCACCCCACTGTCCCCGAGCAAGACAGTGTCTGCCCTGCTTCCATGGACTCCTAAGGAGATGAGATCCTTTCTTTTGCAGGGGACAGGGCAGCAAAGCAGCTGTTCCCAAAAAAGCAACGGCAGAGCTCCCATAGCTTGTCTCACACTGCGAAAGCAGCAAAAGCAGTGCAGGAGGGGAAAAATAAGGAATTATAAGGATTGCTCCACTTTGGGCACTGCTATGCGCTGCAAATTCCCGGCTGCAGGCCAACCATCCCCACAGCTCTAGATGGACAGCCTGGTATGACAACCGCCCTGCCTGACTTCAGCACAGAGCCTGGCTGCAGGCAGCTGCCCATCAGCGCTCCGTCCACCTCCACCGCTACGCAGGCTGCCTTGGCACCAGGCTCCAGATTCTGGCCTGAACCGATGACCCACTACACAGTACAAACCAGTGCTAAGACATTTTCAGTGCAGAGAGCTTTCAGCGCTGTAAGGAACAGCCTTGCTTTTTTCCACACATTAGCACATTGAAATCTGTACGGCAAGCCTGTCAAATAAAGCAGCTGCTCTCTGGCTCTCCTACACCTCTCCGCAGATGGAAGAGCTTCAATTATGTGGCACGTCTGCAGGATTTCAGAGCTATAAGAGCTGCTGCCATATCGCATACCTTAACCTTTGCCTTCCTCTAGGCACTGCATAAGATCTGACGCTTAGTCTGTTCATTTTCATATGGTGGCACAATGCAAAAGGTTGCCCTCTGAGTTTGTTTTTCACAGCAAGGGTGTAGGAGTACAAACCCAGAAAGCTACTTAATTCCTCATTCCCTGCCCCTACATTTTCAGACTGGAAAGACAAGTTATAGGAAATATTTTCTAGGGGAATACGATCAACTGTAGGAAAAAAGTAAAAGTAACTGCAATGTCCAATTTTACTTAATTTTATACTAGAGCTCCAAGACATTTACATGCTTACAAACGCAACCACATTCCACGATTTTCAGAAGGAAGCATGGAACATCCTTCACAAATAACAGTCAGGAACATTTGTAGCCCAACTCAGTTGCTGCTTAGATACCACACTAATGGCCATGCTAAAATGCCCAATTAACTCCCGCTGATTTCAGAGAGGTAACTAAATTAGAGCCAAAACAGGTACATCAACATGTTACCTTAACTTGCAGTCACCTCCTGCTTTTCTCTCAGTCACTCTGGTAACATATCAATTATCACAATACTCAGATTAGCTCCTGTTTCTAAACAAACGCTGGAAAGGTGAATCTTTTCCCCTGAAAAGGCATAGTTAGCAACATGTACCAGACACATAATTAGCAACATGTACTAAATGCTTGTAATCCACAGTCATCTTTCAGAAAAAATAAATTTAAGGAGCTGTCGGTTCAAACTGTCAAATCTGAATTACTTGACAGTGTATTGAACCTTTAAACTTCTGTTGAGAGCAAAAGACACATCAGACAGTCATCTAGGTCTGTAATCAGAAATGTCAGACACTAAGATGGCATAAAGTCTTGTTTTATATGCACCAGAAACACATCAGCGTAAGAAGCACAGCAGTGTAAGATAACATTTCCTGCAAGAATATTTTAGTTACCTTGAGCCTGATTTTTACAGTCATCTCTGGTACCTCCAGTGACCTCAATAGATCGTAAGATTAGAGGACCTGTAGAAATGGCACTTCAGGCATTTAAGCATTCACCCAACATGCTTTAACACAAAGAACGAACATAAAAATAATCTAGTTTGGAACTTGAGAAATTAGCCTGCTCCAGAGCTAGCAGGGTGAAAAAGGACCCAGAAGGCCTAACTCAAGTGCCAAAAAGTATATCAGTACTATCACACACCTTCTGCGAGATGCAGCTTACATCAGGAAGCTAGTTAGCAAAAGTGCATATGACATCAAGAGTCAAGGCTGGAAATCGGCGTAGGCTAGCTTCACACCGCACATGAAACCTGCTCTCTACCCAGCGCTTGCCTGCTGCAGATTGCTGACGTGTTGGCTTACATGCTCTTATGGAACAAACTGAGTCATGCTGCTAAGACTTGAAAATAAACTTTTTTCAAAAAGCTCTGCATTCTGCAGGTAGTACATCCAATTTCACAAAGCTGAGGCCCATGATATATACACACTTGCCCATTTTGCACCCAGGATTACTTTTGTGCACCAACTCATTTCAGCATGCAAACCAGTTGTGAAACAGACAGCTACATGCACTCAACTTTAAGAAAAGAGTTAAGCCTTTTCTTAAAGGCCTCTTTATTTTTAAATTCCTTTAAAACATAATTTAAACAAATCAGATGCAAAACACCTGCATTTTAAATTAGCATATATTTTACTGTATCAATCACAGCAACCTCATACAGTAAGATACACAAAAATAGAGCATGGTATCACTTCAACACAGTTTCGTACTACAGTATTCCATGACATATATACACAGGACTTTTCTTTTTCAAAGCAAGTATAGTCCCTCCTATGTTCACCGTAAAAATTACGTGGCATCACAGTTTTAGTTATTCACTGTAGTGTGAGTAGCCATATGGAAATCGAACTAGTGAACTAGAAGATACACTGTATAGCAGCCAAACAGGCATGACACTTCAGAAGGTGAACAAAAACAAAATAACCACTGAAATGAAAACCACCCTTAGACCGTATTTTAATAGTAAAACTGTTTTTAAATTTTTCACTAAATACACAATGTATCTACATTTGTGTCATATTTA